GCCTAAAATACAACTCTCCGCGCTCCACTACTAATATTGGTTGCAGTACGACAGCTTCTGGGAGAATCCGACGTCAGTGTCTACCATGTGGATTGGACTCTTGTTTGCACTGATGTGTTTGGCCGTGCAGTATCAGCAATTCTCATCGAATGAGGAGCTGCGACTGCAAATCGCAGAGGCTCAACCGGAACGCCTAGTCCGATTATATCGTCAGAAAACCATCCAGTGTCTGGTTCAGGGTAAATACTGCCAAGGTCCACGATATGCGGTGGAAACCATGTTGCTCTATTTATTCATCGAGACATTGAGGGAAGGAGAGACCAAGAGCTTGCAGAGCCCGTGGGTGCTATGGGGAAGTCTTGTTCGCATTGCTTTCCGAGCCGGCTATCATCGTGACGGATCCCATTGGCCGACAATGTCCTGCTTCGAAGCTGAGAGGCGCCGCAGAGTCTGGAACATGCTTGTTGGGTGGGACATGTATCTCTCCATCCAATTCGGTTTGCCTCGCATGATCAACATTTCGCTCTGCGACACTGCGGATCCCAGGAATCTGTTTGAGGAAGACCTTGACGAGGATATGCTCGAACTACCCCCTCCTAGGCCAGAGTCTTCACGGACCATAGGGCAGTTCCACGTTGCCAAAAATCAGCTCCTCAGCATCTTCGGGATGGTCAATGATCTTACCATGTCGGTCAAGGCTTCTTCGTATACCGAAGTCGTAAGACTGGACAAGGTGCTTACCAGTGCTTACGAGTCGATTATCCCCGTTTGGAAATCTGAACCGCAGGCACAAGACCTCCCGTCGCTCTCACAAGCCCCTGCCACCATCAGTGTGCGTTGCACTTTTCTCACCTTTATCTACCGCAGAGCGCAGATTGTTTTGCATCGCAAATACATGTCCCTGGGCAGAAACCAGGAACGATATGCACAATCTCGCAAGGTATGCATCGAAGCTGCCCTCGCCATACTTCGATATCAGTGGGCCTTGTATCTTGAGACTCGAATCGGTGGTCAGCTGTGTCGTCATGGTTGGAAATTCCTGTCGCTGCTTGTGCAAGACTTCCTGTTTGCAACCGCCATCCTCTGTGCCGAGCTTGAAGAAGAGATTTCTCTGGCTAGTCCAAGTGCTGCCGTCGATGTGCAGACGTCAACTGCTGGCTGGAACGACGGTGGCGATACAGACTTGCGCGATGCCGTGTTTCATGCCCTCAGCTCATCTTATATTGTGTGGCTGCAATCAGACGGCTCGGATTCATCGCAAGAAATCAAGACCGTGGTAGCAGCACTCCGGCATCTGCTGAGTAGGGCGCAGGCAATTGGATCTTGGCAGTCGAGGATGAGCGCCTCGAGGCCGTCAACTTCTCTACCCGGGACAGACCCAGGAATTGATGAGTTGGGACATACGCAGTCGCAGCAACGGGTAGGCTATGGTCCTGAAATAGACAAGCCTACAAGTGTTGATGTATATTGGGGGCTTGGACACTTTCCCATATGATTGTTACAAATAAACGGTCGTCTATTCCAACCAGATGATACTGATGTGGGTTGTGTTGATTTCCTTTTAGGGAGAAGCTGCGGTCTCAGCCTTTTTGCTCCGGACTAATTTATACGGAGGATCATTGCATCATCCGGAGCTCCAGCCGGAACCACATTTCCAGCTCGCGCGAAGCTCCATGAGCTTCGCTCAATGACGTCGATCGTTAACAAAATGGTTCGACTTCCGGCGCGCTCCATGGCTATAAGAGTCCGACTCATTCCACGAACTGACTCTTTTCACTTCCCAGTATAGCTCGGTGGTCTATAGCTGTTCAAAGCAGTGCAGAAGAAGTAGCTCCAGCTGACCACTCTCAATCACTCATCAACAATGTCTGTGGATGCATTTGCAGCTCTCAGAAGAACCCAAGGAGAGGAACTTGGGAGACTTGCAGAGGAGCATTTCAAGCATGAGTGAGCCAACATACAGCCCTCATCTCATGCTTATGGAGTCAAACTGACTATGACATAGTCTACGAGAAGAAGACCGTGACTTACTGCGGTCGGCCGCATCCAAAGCTTCCAGACATGCCCTCATAGGCTCCCTCGCAGGTATTGCGCTAGGGGGTTTCCTCGCCTTCCGCCTGCGAGCAAACCGCAACGCCATGTTTCAGGCCTTCCGCGCCGCTGAGAAGCCTACGCACGTCCGATTCGCAAGCGGTCGCGAAGAGGCTATTCCGGACATCACTCCTCTGTTGCAGCCCACACCTCTGGGAGATATCGTGACATACACATTCTTCGGCATCGCGGGCCTATTTCTGGGTGGGGAGGCTGGTTTACTTACCGGGTCGTGGTCCGCGAGGAGAGCCATTGCGCAAGACCCAGCTTGTCAAGAGAGGATTCAGAGGGCGGTTCGGTCCTTTAGGGCGGATGTGCTGAGGAAACAGCTCAAAGAGCTCGAGGCAGGGAAAGAGGACGGGTCAGAGGAGAGCATTTGGTCATAAACCGGAGCGTCAAACATGTTTGCTGGGGGTTTCTTTGGATGGAGAAAAGTAGGTAATGGTCATGCATGAATGAATGGGGACTAGGATAACATTTTCACAAATGTGCAAACACATCCACCATCAGTGGATCTGGGCTTCTTTTCCTTCCGGACGCGTGGTTATTGTCTGGTTCTGTTTGCTAAGCACGAACGTTGGGTTAGATGGAGCTGATACGTTTACAGGCAAAGAGCTGTATCAACAGCCTGGGTCAAGGCTACAGGCCTTCCGGGATTGCCACCTACATTGTCCAGATCTACCGTGTGTCACGGTTGAGTCACTGCGTATGACCCTTATCATTCCATGAAGTTTGTTTGATCCTGCACCTGCAGGCACATCACTACAAAGACATAACCCCTCCGACTAGCAAACGGAGCAGCGCATTGAAGGAACCTGCTGAATAAATGGAGCGATGCTTCGTTCTATTCACGAAACTGTCCATATCATGAATGCCACGGTGACGACGACGACAATGGCACTGCATGAGCTCTTCACTCGGAATCCTCGACTTCGGTGCCTAGCTTACCATCCCTTTCGATCCATCGTCACCAAATTAACTATCCGGGCACGGAGGCTGTGTCACAAGCGAAGCAGAATCATATCACCCGATACTTCTATCGCTATTTTCACCACTCCAAGTCACTAGAGTGTCACCGAGACACACACATACATACATATATATATCTCCTCACCCTGGCATACTCTGGATCTTCTTGATCTAATATCAAGGCTCATCCTCTTCCAGCTTCGACCTGTATCCATCGAAGACACCATCCTATCAGCTTGCCTTTAGCCCGTCTCTCCAGCTCAGACATTCAGGAAAGGCTTTCAGAATGTCGACCACACACAACATGGATGTCAACGTTGTCGACAAATGGGGTGATCTTATTCTTGAGGTTGGGGCTTCGTTGCGCGATGATCTGTCGAGTGAAGGAGACGGAGAGCAGCTTTCCGAAGTTCGCTCTGAGCAGCAATCAGACAGCGACAGCGACAGCGAACAATCCCTGGCGCGGAGTCTCAGACAAGATAGAACACCATCTCCGGACAGCAGTGTCGCCATCACAGATATTCCTCTGCGTATCCTCGTGTCGTCCAAAGTCCTGACTATGGGCTCCCTTGTTTTCAAGGAGATGCTGCATGGGAGCTTTGCGGAAGCGCAGCTTCACTTCAACCAGGTCGATCCGCCAACATTATCACTGCCAGAGGACAATCCCCGGGCGACACTGCTTTTCTGCGAGATCGTCCACTGCAGCCCCAGCGTTCACCACTTCAAAGGGTACAAGACTCTCCATGAACTGGGCATCTTTGCAGACAAGTACGACTGCACCCGCTCTTTGCGGTCTTGGTTTCGCGGCCAACTGTTCAGATTCGTTGGAGCCGGCCATGACTATTTCGACATAGACGCTCTTCTGAATGAGGGCATGAGTGCACAGCAGATGCTCAAGCTGTGCTTTCTCATGAACGACACCGAGATGTTTGCGCTCGCATCCAAAACGGTCTACACCCACATTAGTCCGTCCGAGATCCGTCCCAGACTCGAGGCTGTGTATGAGGATGAAGTGCCTGGGCGCCTGATTGACCTCCTATGCTCTTTTGGACGCCACTCTATCCACGACTTTGCCGGCATTGGCCCCGCACTGATTGCGCATGTCTCTCGGCAGCGCAAATGGTATGGCTATTTCACTCCGATCCCCTGTGAGACCACACAAGAGGAAGACGAGCTCGATCACTCCCAGGTGACCGGGCTTTGCTATGGGAACACCGTCAGGATCGGCGTCCTGGGCGCCACACTCGCTTCCCTGTCACTGTTGCCATCCCACGATCCCGAGGTCGACTCCAAGCGTTCGCCAGTGGCCATGCTGCGCAAACTCCAACGTCTGGGCGAGGTTGATTTCGGCGACAGGAAGATGTGCTGTCCCAAGACTGCGCGCTGCAATTGCGGCCACGATCTCGACATCAAATTCGAGCTCGACAAGAAGATCAAGGCGGCAAAGCAGAAAGCGCGTGGCATTTGCCTAGGGTGCGTGAAGGATGACACGGAGCCGATATCCGACTTCCTTCACGGCCACAATTCACGCTGTGAAAGGCATGTGTCGTGGGGTGAACGAAGCCTCAACCACGATATGATCTTGCGGCGATGAGAGGTACATTGGGGTTGATGGAATAAATGATTAGCTGGATATCGAATGGGGAGGACACGAATCGCGGGTCCGTCATCGAAGCTGTGTCCGCGACTCACCTTGGATGTGAATTCCTCTGTTAGCCTCCGACATCTTCAGCTGCGACTGTCAACATCGATTTCATCGTCATCTTTAGGCAAGTCGGCCGTCAATTTTGACAATCGGCACTTCCATTGTGACAACTTTTCCGACCCTCACCTCCGCGTCACTTTCCCGTCAATTCCTTTATACCCTTCCGTCCCCAGCCTGTCACAATTCTACCTTGCGCTCTATCTTTCTGTTCGACAGACCATATCACCCTCACGTCATGACTTCCCTGGGAGAATCGGAAGTCGTCCTGGTCGATCCAGACGGCGACCTGATTTTGGAAGTTGGCAAGGAACACGACCTCACGGAAAATAACGTCAAAGTCTCGCAAAGCAACAAGGGCGACTTGGACGCAGCCCAGCAGCAGACCGCCAAGTCAAAGGTCCTCCGAATTCGCGTTTGCAGCAAGCTCATGATGATGTGTTCTCCCGTGTTCAAGGCCATGCTGAACGGACCTTTTCGTGAAGGCCAACTTTCACTGAATGCTGCCGAACCACCGATCCTGAAACTGCCGGATGATGAGCCGGGGGCTATGGGGGAACTGTGCAAGATCCTTCACCACAAATGTGACATTGATGTGGATGTATTCCCTGCCTGCGCTGTATCAACATCAATAGCAGCGGACAAATACGGTTGCGCCACAATCACAAGGTCATGGTTCCATCATCAGCTCCTGCGGAAGATCGCTACAGGAGGCGCTTACTCAAGACTGGCCCTTGCTCGGCTCATTGTTATATCGTATATCTTGGACGATGTTGAAGCGTTTTATTTCTTCTCCATTCAGGCCTACAAGAGGTGGCGCACAAAAAAAGACGAGAACGACGCCTTCATTTTCGAGATCTCGAGCAATCATCTTCCACACAAAGTTTCTGGTGAGCGCATCTGAGCAAGTCTCCTTCATACTGTGGTTTGGCACTGACAAACGCCTAGAACTTCTCGAACAAGCCGCTGAAACTTACCTTGGAGAACTAATTACTCGTAACCGTGGGGTTATTGGCGATATCCTCGGTGATAGGTCCGAGGATGATCGAGCAATCAACTTTACCATCTACACTTTGAACAGGGAGGTAGAGTTTCTCAAGGTCGGTCGTGAGGGAGTAGGAATGGTGGCGCAGTACATTCAAGGATTGATTGAGTTTGGTCTTTGGCCTCCGCAAAGAGGTGGCGGACAACCTGCATCTCTGGAAGAAGCCATCTGTGTGGTTCGGCAGCTTGCCACACATATGAGAGGCGAGCAAACTCAATGCAATGACAAGGATTGTTGGACGTGCAGATTACATTGGGGAGTGGTGATCCGGGCAATGATCGACCGTTTTGAACAGGGCCTACATGGGCTGTGTCTCGTCTGCCTGAAGCGCGGGGATCTGTCGGCATCGAACATATTGATCAATTGCAAAGAGCATAACAACCGACTCGCCACGGGCGCGTTCGTGGACTGGCGCCGGGACACGCGAGAGTACGCAACCTTGGGGGACTACGAGGAGTAGAGAGCCATGTCCGCCCTCGATGTCAACAGATGGATCAAAAATGGAAATGTGTACCAAGCGCGACTCGAGTCAGTGGTCTACACTAGCGGAGGGAAATACGACGAAAAAAAGCGCAGAACTCAACAACGAAAGGGTCAAACGGACACAGGAACAGAGGACAGCTGTGATCATCTTTTTTTTTTCGGGAACCGGTGGATTGAGGACGGTCGAACTTTCCAGAGCTGTGTACACATATCGAGAGACCACGCTTGGGTCTTGCTTTGTGCTTTGTCCCTGAATGGAATTGAAGACTCGTGTATTTTGCGCCGAATTCGCCGTGGTGTTTTCCAGGGTTGGAATGGATGGGAAGGAATGATTTTTACCGGCGCCGTGACTCCTCGGCTATGAGGCTGCATGGCACTACCAGACTGCATCTATGTACTGCCGGAGCGTCGGTACTATGTACTTTGTACATTTGTACTCTATAGTTTCCTGAGAGAATGCAAAGGGCGTCCGTGTCGGTTATGTACCGGTAGTGAGCTGTCTGGAAATAACCGGCCGGTGCCGGCATTCGCAGTCGCAGTCGCAGTCCCATCCCGTACTAAGGAGTAAGCGGGACAGAGCACGTAGGGTACATGTACCGAGTATGTACCTAGCTCGCTAGGTATGTGCGTATGTGGGGGACATGTATGTAAGTGCATGTCGATCACTACGGTATCAAGAAGCCCAGGCTTGCCGGGGATCCAAAAAGGGGGTAAGAACACGTACCAGTAGGTAGGTAGGTAGGTAGGTAGGTAGGTAGGTTTATGTACGAGTACGAGGACCAAGTAACGAGTATTACTTCGCTGTCATGCTGCAACCTGCATCCCGGGACGGAGTAGTAGGCTCATAAGTGCCTCGAGGCGCCTGTCTCCCTGTCCTGCTTGTGATACTTATGGATCCACATATTATGTATGTATGTGTCACTTCTACCGAGTACCGAGTACGCAATGTCCTCCCTCCATGGCCATGTATTGGATTTGTCGGTAACTCGTCATCGTCAACTCGTCAACTCGTCCAACTCGTCCAACTCGTCCGCTTATTCAACTCGACAGATCCACCCAGGATCGTCATTCTCATGAGTTTTAAGGGGGGGCCACCTCCCCCCCCAAATTTCCCCAATCTACTCCGTAGGTACATCTCCTCTTTCCCCCCAGCGTTTCAACAGGTCCCACCACTGGCGCAGCGCGCACAGCCAAATCATGTGCCCTCCCCCCTCTTCCTATTTTCGCTCTTCCCCTTGTATCACCTTGTCTACCTGGTTCGGTGGAAGGGGGCAAGAGAGGGAAAGGCTAACGCGGTTCATGACCTCTCTCAAAAATCACACCTCGCCCTTCTCCGTCCACCGGGGATCCACAACAACCATATCGTCTGGATTCTCCACATGCTGGACACCCTCGGGATCGACATCTCCCTGACTGCTCGAGCCTTTGTGGTCGACCTGGACGATCGTCTCGGCGGTTTCCTGGCGAGCCGAGGACTCGTCGAGAACGTGGCCAAGACGATGACGACGACGATGGGGCAGACGGCCCGCGACGCGGACGGGGTCGAGAAAGGACTTTGAGGCGGCAAAGATCTCGTCGAGCTCCTCGAGGCTGCGGCCCGCGGTCTCGGGGAAGAAGAAGTAGATGACGGGGACGAAGGCGGCGTTGAGGGCCGCGTAGACGATGAAGTAGCGGTAGCCGATGTCGGTGAAGGCGACCGGGGTGACCTCTGCGACGAGGAAGTTGAACAGCCACGACACGGCCGTCGAGATGCCGCACACGGCGGCGCGCAGGTGCGCCGGGGCGATCTCGGACGCGTACAGGAACGGGATCCCCAGGAACCCGATCGTGTAGACCACGTAGTACAGGTACAGGAAGAAGACGGCCGCCTTGAGCGCCGCGCTGTTGTCCGGGTCCGACACCAGCCCCGTGAGGCACGCCATGCACGCCGCCATCCCGGCCGAGCTGAACAGCATCAGCGGCCGTCGCCCGAACCGGTCCACCGTCCACGAGCACAGGCACGATCCGAGGATGATGGCGAACTGCGATGCCGCTGCGAGGATCCGAGACACGGTCGCGTCAAAGTGCAGGTCGGATTCGTAGATGGACGAGGCATAGTACGTGATTGCGTTGACACCTTTGCGTAGGATTTGTGAGCCAGGTCATTTGTTCACGTGGCGTGCACGCCATCTCAAAGGGAGGCCCCAACTGGATAAGGACAAAAGGAGACCCGGGACGGATGACTTACCAGTCATTTGTAGGAAGATCTGCACAACCGCAGCTAGCAAGACCCGGTGGAATGTCCTCTGTGGTCCCATTGTGAACAGGGCCCTGAGGGAGAAAGTCCCGGCGAGTTCGAGCGCCGCCTGGATCTCGCGAATCTCCTTCTGGACCTCGTCGTCGTGTGCGTCGACGTTGTGGAGCAGGCCGATGATATCTCGCGCCTCTTCGACGCGGTTCATCTTGACCAGCCAGCGAGGAGATTCCGGCAGGGTGAAGATAAAGGTCATGACGATGACAGAGAGGACGATCTCAAAGGCAAAGGGGAACCGCCACGACACAGAGCCCGTGAAGTAGGAGAAGCCAAAGTCGATCCATAGAGCCAGCACTAGGCCCAAGCCGCAGAAGATGCCAAACGCCGAGACATGTTCGCCGCGACTCTCGGCCTTGGAAAGCTCAGACTGCCAGACCGAGACGGTTGCGATGATGCCACCTGTACCCAGGCCCACGACGATGCGGGAAACGATGAATTGCGCAAAGGAGAACGAGGATGCCATCAGGATGCCCCCGACCATTTGCACGGCGGTGGCTAGAAAGATGGTCCCTCGTCGTCCGAGGACGTCGCCTAGAAAGGTGCATGCTAGAGCCCCGAATGTGCCACACAGGGTATACAGGGCGATAACGGTGCCTGGAGGAGCGGGTCAGTCACCAAAGGGCGCAAGATAGCCTGATAAGTGCTGGGTTGGGCCTGACCTTGGATCGTAGAGTTGTAATGCTTCTGCGCGCCAGTTGTGTCAATCACGTCCATCTTGGGAAATTGCCTGTTGAAGGACGGCGTGGTGAGGACTCCGCCAGCCACGGCCTGGTTGTACCCAAAGATCATGACCGCGAACATGGCCAAGGCCCATATAGCAGCGTTGAGCCCGCGCCCACGAAGGCCCCAAAAGCGTTTCATGGTGATGGGAGCGAGGTTTAGAGCTGTAAAAGGGGGGACAAGCAACCTAGTTGCGGTGTCTGGAATGTTTTTGAATATCCTTTGCGCCAAAAGAAGCCACGAATATGAGACAAAGAAGCGATCTTCTGAGTCATACGGCGTCGCACTTGTATAGCCCCCAGCCTGCGAATATATCGAAGCTGCGCGGGCAAACTCCAGCTCTCTTCCCCGCTTCAACGTACGCCCTCTTCCAGCTCTGGGAAGGGGATGTAGATCCCCCAACGTCGGTTGTCGGATAATGCTTCGCAGACATTGTCAGCGACGACATGTATACCTTGCGGGAGTAGATGCGGAGAACACGCATGAATCATATGGCGGGGAGAGATCCACTCGGCTTAGCTCTACCTCGTTGGTGGCCTGCTTGTCTGCTTCAGTTCATGTTGTTGAGAAAAGCTCCGTGCTCGGGAGCGAGAAAGCTTGCCTCGGGGTTAGGGCGCAGGGATGTCGACTTTCAAAGTATAGTGGATTGCATTGCCGTGCCATTGGACAGCACTCACAGGGCGTCTCTGTCAAAGCTTACCGACGAGACTGGCTCTGCTCCGTTCTGCCCGGCCTGTTCTCGTTACGAGGACGAGACTCACCGCAAGAGGCAGAGGCAATGCAGTCAAGCCTCACTGCTGTGGCTAGCAAGCCTCCTGAAGAGCTGAACTGCCAGCTGCTTACCAGACATTGGCTTCCGTTGATGGCAGACATGATCGGCCACTTTTTGGTGTTTGGTCCTGTGCCACCCAAGTGTCGTCAACTTGATTTGATTTGATTTTCGTAGATGGGGGGTCCTTTATACTTTCACTAACCACATTGGAACTAGCGTCCTCGCATAGTCGGCTCTACGGCAATTTGGACCCAACAGCATCACTCAACAGAGACCAACATTGTCCTTTTGTGAAAATTGACCAAGTCCTCTGTCTTTTATGTCCCTGTGCAGAAAACACCGCTGACATATCTAAAACAACCACGTATGGTGGAAGAACAGATGTCTAATACCTAAGACGCTCGCAGCCCGTAGCCCGGCACGCCATCTTGGAACCACCAGCGGCGAAAATCGCACTGATCTGCATTCCTCTCGGCCACGGCACCGACTTGTATGGCCCAGCTGACGAGGATTGCGGGATTGCGGAGTCACCTCCGTGGTCGGTTACGCAAATTAGCCCTGTGGAGGTGGCTGACCGACACACGCTCCCTGCAGACAGGAGCAGCGTACGGCAAATCCTGATCAGACGCCTTGCGAGCAATCCGGGCACAGGCTAACCCCAGAGTCTGCCCCATGGTGACATGCCTGGTGGAGTGGATTCGACCTTCATTGATGGATGTGCAACGAAAGCCACTCACAATGCACCAGTGCACAACTCCACTGGATGCTTTTACAAATGGTCCTTTCTCGGCGTCTGTGTTCACATGCAGTCACGAGTTCTTCGAGGGCAACAAAGAGCGGTTCTGCGCCTCTATGAATATTTTCTCTTTCCCTTGCTTGTTCGTTGGAAATTTCTCAGGAGTAATTCTACTCTTCTAATTCCTTGTATCTAATCGAGTCTGGAGAGTGCTTCTCTTGAGTCTTCGCAGCTTATTCAGCCTCTAGCCACTCTAACATGTCTAGTCACAAGTCCTCTCTGAGATCGCCTTAACGCCACTCTGTCAACGTATCCTTCTTTGGCACATGGTCACATAACGGCCTCACCTCATGGTATAACGTAAACATATACCTGGCTGAATCTCTGTCCAGGTGGTGCTCGAGGCTTCGTCAACGCTTTGGATCGTGTGGCTTAACTTTCGACACCGCTGGCAGGTGTGAATGAAGCCTCAAACACCATGGCGATAGTCGACCAGCAAATCGGAAGGGCTTGTCAAACGTAGCCTCCATGTTTTGCAAAATGCATGCCTGCCGCGAAATAGAACAACTTTGCCGCGACCATGAAGTTGTCCTTGTTGGCCCACTCCAACAACTTCTCGTAGAGTTCGCTCAGCGGCACCATGACTCTTTCAATCAACTCGCCGTCATCCAGTCTTTGCTCGGGCATAAAGTCTTGCTCGGCATTCAGCTTGACTTCGACCATGACCAACTTGATCGTGGCATTGGTCATTCCAGGATCACTCGACAAAATTGGCGATACGTCATAGACCTTGCCGTCATAGCCAGTCTCTTCCTTCATCTCTCGGACTGCCGCTTCCTCGGGCGTCTCGTGCTCATCGACCAACCCGGCCGGCCACTCGACGGTGTATTTCCCGACCGGCGGACGATACTGGAGGACCAACATAGTACTAGGTGGTTTGGAAGGGTGCACGAAGATGTTGCCCATGGCCACGGCGTCAACGCCAGACTTTGAGGTTGTCTTACGGATGGCGATCTCCCAGGTGCGGGGAGTGCCTGTTTGGTCTATGAAATCGACCTTCTTGAGCGTAACCCATCTCGCCTGGGCCGGATCTAGATCGGTGATGGAGACGATCTCTGGCTCCTGTGTCTTGGGCGACATGGGTGGAAATGACGGACAGATAGCTCGGGAGTCGACACAGGAAAGGGGAAGGAGTGATACACTAGGCAGATAGAACCCAGGAGCGAACGAATTGACCACAGGGGGGAAAATTATGAAAAGTCAGACGCCCAGGAGTTCGGTTTAAGCATCTCAGTGACGCCTTGGCAGCCAAGACTTTCTCTGGGCGCGGCGAGTTAATCTCGACCTCCACTTACCGCTCTACCGCCTACTCTACCTCAGCTACCCAGTTGCATATCCTATGAGGAATCACTCTCTCTGCAGAGTGAAAGTGCGGGACAAAGGGCGAACGAACACTTCATTGTGCTCTCTGCCCACGAACAAAGAAAAGAATGGGTTGCATACAACTAACTGCCCTTGAGTGCCTTTCTACGCGACAAAGAAACGCACCATTTTGTCCTGTGGCTTGTCCTCGGACAAGGAGTCGATGTCGAGGTGTAACATGATTCTCGTAACAACTTGATGTGGCTGTGATGTTGCCCTACTCGACGCTGAGCTGCCTTGACGTTGCCTTGCATCACTGCCTCTGCCACTGCCTTACAACATGGGACAGGGTCACCGGGTACTTAAAGTCCCGTAGAGCATGCTCTCCAGAGATTTCTCCCCATCATTCGACATCTTCTCTCCATACCACCATCAGATCTTTTACAAAAACTCCATACACGATGAATCCTGACAACGTCCCAGATAGTGCGATGGCTTCCAGCAGCACTCCCCCTCTCGACTGGGATCTGAGCGATCGCCTTGTCACCACCACTCAACCTCAGACATACGAGGTCGCCGCCGACGGTGATGCCTATTTTCGAGCCCTCACAGAAACAAAAGATCACGTCTTGATACGTGTCTCGACCGAGGCGCTGAGCAGGAACACAAAGTTCTTCAGAGAGCAATTCAAGGCAAGCTGGGCTCCAGAGGGCGGTAAGTTTACAGCCGAGAACCCCCTGCATTTCCTGGAGCGTTTGGAACCCTTTGTGTTGTTTCTCCATGTCGCTAGTGAGGACGATCCCCTTCCACCGGAGAATACCTGCCTTCTGAGAGACGTGGCTCTGATGCTTGACAAGTACCTCTTCGAGGGCAAACTCCCCGCATGGTTCGAGACGATCCTCACGTCCTTCATCCCCAAGAGCTTCCCGTTCCCCAACAACGTCGAGAGCTCCAGCATGGTGTATGGAGATACAGGAATCTTGTTGTGCACAGCCTTGCCAGCGATCCTCCACTCGGCGTATCTGCTGAACCTCCCGGCTCTTTTCGCAACCGCTTCGCGCCGCATGATGTGGCAGATGACGGCCTACGACGTCGACGAGCTCCTCCCGGACCACATGAAGGCGCTGATGCCGTGGGACTTTATCCGGGGCTTTGAGTCCGAGGTGGTGAGAGTGCGTGACGTCCTGATCTCCAATCTCCCCCACGTGTTCTACCCGGACCCGCACGGCGACGCCCAGTGGGGATGCCACGACTGCAACCTCGTGTCGCACGCCGAGCGCTGGCACCACGAGGTCATCAGCAAGGCCGAGTGCACCCAAGCCGAGCGGCTGGGCGGCGAGGTGCAGCAGAGCCTCGAGAGCATCTTTGCAGAATACGTCCACGACATGACCAAGCTTGAGCGCCTGCGCGAGTTCGACCAGGTCGACAACCCCACGAGATTCGAGTGTGGCCGCTTCCGCCTCCGACACCTCGACGTCTCCGAGAACGAGATCCTCTTCGAGGCCTACACCGCCATCGGGGGTTTGTGCTTGCCGTGCATCCGCGCCGGCGGTGAGTTTGCCTTTCGCCTCCATTGCGACCAGCACAACCTCGATCTGAGCAAGGAATCGTCAGTACGCAATAAATAGCGGAGAGAGAGAGAGAGGGCTGAGCATAATCATCATGTCCCGGGGGAGAAGTTCAAGCGTAGTGTGATGAGGTCGCGAGTGGCGAAGGGGGTTATGGGTGCAGAAAGACGTGAATGAGAAATGAAAAGGTGTAGTGAGTGCATGGAGAACGTGTGAGAGCCACCCCAGACTCTGCAGGGCTTGGGATGGTGCTGTCAGGGTGTAGGAGCGAGAGGGAAGTAGTAGTAGACGACAGGGGACGGGTGAGACAGACAGATCATCTGGAGAGAGCTGGATGAGAATTACTCCTCAGAAAATGTAATACAAGATTTGCTTTTGTGATAAACAACCTTGGCCCTAATCTCCCTTTGCCGCGTAGGTCTATAATAGACGATCCACAGTGCCAGTCAGCTTCTGTACCAGAGGAAACAACAAGCAGAGAGAGACCTCGGCTTGAGAGGGGTGAGTCGAGGCCTCCTGTTGTCGTGCAGACACGGGAAAGTCACCATAACCCTTCCTATCTGGATAATGTCAGACAGGACGATAGAAGGAGACATCACTAGGGATCTCGGCATTCAGTGAGGAGATTTCTCAACAGAACCGTGGTCAGGACCGCACTGATACGCAACGTGCACAATCACCTTCCTCACCACCGTCATCGGCCGAAGAAGCCAGCTAGAATGCCACATGAGACTTCTCAGGGTCGATCTAGGATCCTGACCTAGGGTAGGGTAGAGATAGGCCGTATATCTCTTCTACCTGACGATGATCGGACACGGGGATGCAATGGCCAAACGATGCCGGGACTCAATGTCATATCCTATTATTTCGATAGGTCGAGGTCCTTCTCCCCTCAGTCGTCTTCGTCTTCGTCCATATAGCGTCGATGGGGGTGGAAGGGCCGCAAGGGTAGTGGTACATTCAGCCGACCAATATCGAGGTTTCCGCACCCTTGAGGACAATCCCAGGTGCCCTCATGTCTCAGGCTTTCTTCTGATCCGCCGTTCTGCTCAGGGAACGAGTGGTATCCATCTTGACACTCCACGATCTCGGCCAGGAAGCTTCCGGATTTCCAGCGCCCTCCTTGCAGAAACGAAGTTGGCGTATCGGAACACGCACCTCTGAGGCAACTCCTCACATCAACGGCCCATGTAGCAGCTGGAAAGTCAGCGATAGGCGGCCCTTCCAACACTCGGTCTGTACCACCAACCCTCCAGCGCGAGTTAAGCAAACAGAAATGGTAGTCGATCCAGGCTCTACCATCAGAGTCGCGGACTCGAGGAAATGCTCTTTGTCCTCGGCAGGGCGGCTGGCTACATGACCTCGTTTGAGTCCCACCAGTCACACGCGAAGCCCTGTATTCCATAAGCATGACGGGTCCCGAGTCATCCTGAGAATCGTTCACGATATTGACAAAGGGTTGTCTGTGGTAAAATGGCACCTGTCTGAGGTCCACAGCTTCGGTGACTCGTCTTTTCCTCTCGATCCTTGTCCAGCAGCCTTCGTCTCTCTCCAGCTCTGTGGGCCCCCAGGCAATTTTATCTGGGAGACGAGGTTCGTCGCTAAATGCACCAGGAAGCAGATGGAGTTTGTACACATCAATTGTCCAATGATGGACGATTGTCAAACTCCAGTCTTCTGGCGCTGGTCCGTAGATGAGTCCTGTCACCTGTGCTCCCCATCCCCCTCTTTTTTCAGGAGCCCGGACACCTAGATCTCTCCAGATACCACTCTCCCGGACACCATACTGAAACAGGTCCAGCCCTGCTTGCTGTATCATCTCAGCCCAAGTATGGACTCGATGCAGCATCCGTATGAAGTCCCTTGGTGATTTCCAGCTATGGACCTGTAGATAATCAAGTAGTGGTGTCACTTGCCACTCCTCGGACCCATAGTTAGAAGCGTCAGCAATCCTCGAAGGGTCGGCGCCGTTCTTCAAAACGCCGAGTCCAATATCGAGCCAATCCTTGTGTCTCTCTAGGTTTTTCGATGCAACGCAGTGGAGTACAGTTTTGCCACTGTTGTTCCTGAGCAGCGCAAGTCTCGGATCCATTGCCTGCATCCCGACACACCTCAGAAAGGCTGTAGCATCCAAACGAGTAAGCCGCGAGGCCAGCTCAAACCTCTCCTCAAAGGTGCGAGAATCAAATCCTGGTAATTGATTTTGTAGTACAACTTCCAGCGGTTCTACCCGTCCGCATAATCGCAACCATATATTTCGAGCAACTCCGAGTCGAATGTTGTCGGTCATATTCGTATCAATGTCCGGGTCCTGCAGAAATAATCGATACATTTCTCCACTTGCTCCATTGTTGACCAAGCTATACCAGCTGAGAGCATGGCTTAGCCGTCTCCCATGATCCGGGTAAGTCGTCTGACTGAGAAGCCATTTGCAAACTTCCAGCTGTCCATTTTCCGCAGCATCCTATATATGTTCTTATAATCACCATGGCTGCACTTTAATCGTTACTGCCGCAAGGGAAGTGCTTACCTCAACGAGCGTCCGCCAACGATCGTCTCCGGTGAACCCACTGCCATATGTGGCATCTAGCAGTGTTGCTTTGCCGCTCTCAATGAGTCTCCTAACTCCTTCGAGATTTCCGGTCCGACAATATTGGAAAATGAGGGATGTGTATGGGACATGATTGAAAGTGCGCAAATATATAGACCATCCGCACTGAGCCTGGCTAACGGCAATATCGAATATCCGAGCTTTGAGAAAAGAGGGAAGTCGAAAAGTAACCTGGAAGCGCGGCTTGTTGTTCTTTGATCGCTTGGACCAATGAGAGCGCCCCAAGGCACGGTCGTTGGCAGTGAAAGGACGGCTTGCTGTAACCGCATCTGTTTGTGCCGGTGACAACACTGAAGATTGGCCCAGCACTGTCAACTGTTGTGAGAGACTGATGGTCCCAGCGGAAAGCTGATCTTGCAGATTCCTGATCAAACAGCCATGACGAGCCAGCAAGTCGGTGTGCGCTTGATCTCGGCGCCTCTGTTCCTCGCCCAGGTACATCATGTATGCGAGTTCGAGCGAACTTTTGGCCTTTTCCAGCCCGTCGAGCAGCTCTTTGACATCACGCTGTTTGAACGCAGTATATATCCTACCGCCTATCTTAGCGTCTCTTGAGAGGCGGTCATCCATCCTGTCGATAAGCTCCTGTATATCAGCCGTGTGCAATTCGCATTCGGCGATACAGCGTGCGAGGAGAACGTCGCTGGCGCTTCCCTGCTGTCGACGTTGCTCGAGTTGCCGTAGTGCCAGAGCCATTGTCTCCAGGCCAAGCTGGAGTCTGGCAACTATTCGAGGTGCATCACGAGCCGCGTGGTACATCCGTTTCAGCTTTGCGGCGCTCTCCACGAGCTGAATGCTCAATGAGATCAGGCCTGCTCCACTGGCGGCAATGCCAAAAATTGCTTCAGCGCCAGACATTTGAGAGGGTGATTGATAGTCGAAACCCAAATGAAATTAATACCGCTACTAGTAAAGGGAATAAATTGTAAGTGAGGTGAAGAAGAGAGTTTTATCGATAGTACGTGTTCAAAATCTATGTATAGGAAACTTCTAGTTGAAAGTGGCAGGGCAGTGGTTGGTTGGGATTGAGCCACGTCAGTCAAACAGCGTCCTAGTCGCTTTGGGTCTAGCTAGGGTTGGAAGAACTCACCACTGAGGCTCGGCCGAAGCTGCAAGCTCGTAAGGCTGACTCGCGATTTGCCTTGCAATGATTTAATACTTAGTACTAATCATGATCAGAGACTATCGAATCGATCATTTGAAATGCACCCAGGAATGGGAGGAAACATGGATGATTTCCTAATGCGATCGGAGATACCTGTGTGCGGGGCAGCATTACCGAATTCGGACAAATAGGTGGCTCGTTTTAAATGCACTCCCCGTTTTCTTTGACTGCGGAAGGCTCGACTCAGTAAGTAAGTAGTTACTACTACTACGCCCATCGTGAATACTGAATGTATCTGTTTTGGGACGATGTGACTGTGTTCCAATCTCATACTCTCTGAAATCTGGTCGGCTAGGCTAAACACCGTAATACTATTGTATTCTCGAGAGATTGAGATGGAAGAACTGTTGTCAGAATCAGCTTTAGTTGGATTCTGCCTTCTTTCTACGGACGGACAGGTTTTGAAGTGCTCACTTCCATCAGGACTGCAAGTACTACTGAGTACTTGCATCGTCTCTCTGAAGTGGAAGCAAAGCGAAAGACAACCCAGGCCCTAGTAGATTCCAGCTAGAATTGAGATGGATCCGAACCTAGCCTACATAGTAGTAGTAGACGCTATCAAGATTGAGCAGATTTTGATCCTTTTCGAAAGCAGCTAGAGTGGTGGCCAGGTACGGAAGTTCGAATTGGGACTAATACACTAGTACTGTTTCAGACAGTTGACGGTACTACAAGTGTTTTGGGCATATTAAAGTTCTTTGCAAGTGTCTCCCTCTCCTATTACTACTACCACTGAATTTACAGCCGAGTTGCTCCTAATCAGGGCGGGAGGCCCCGCTGGTAGCCTTACGTTCAGTCCAAGAAGACTAGAACTTTAAGTTGTCCATATGCAGGTGCCTGGCGGTCTCGGGGTTAAGGGATGGTAACTCTCGGAGTTATTTCGTACTGAACCATATTGTTACGAGACACTTTCAAGTTCTTCCTTCTTTTCATGTGCCCAAAATACTAATACTAGTATTAGTATTAGGGCACCTTCCAGGTCTGAGACTACCACCATGTCCTCTTCCACAGGGAAAGCCACGCCCAAGGTCATCATCTTCGGCCCAACTGGCAATGTTGGATCCGCGACTGTTCGGGCGGCCCATGCGCAAGGAGCAAAAGTGTTCCTTGCAATGCGGGATCTGGAAAAGGCGATCCCAGGCTACACCCCGGAACAAGAGCGCGAGGCAGGCTTTGAGAGAGTCTTTGCTGATCTCACCAAGCCCGAAACGATTGAAACCGCCGTTACCAAGACCGGGGCCAAACACGCCTTCATCTACGTGTTCAGGACAGCTGATCACATGAAGTCCTCCCTTGTTGCGCTCAAGTCGGCAGGGATCGAATTCGTCGTCTTCTTGAGCAGTTATACTGTCCCGACCAACCTGAGCAACGAGACCATTTCACCAAGCAATTTCATTGCCTGGGGACATGGCCAAGTCGAGCTCAACCTGGACCAAGTCTTTGGAATAGACGGGTACGTGGCTGTGCGACCTGGGTATTTCGCTACCAACGCCCTACGATGGAAGAATATGGTCTCGGAAGGCGAGATCAAAATCGCATATCCCGAGGCGCTGTTCGACTGGATCACGCCAGGAGACATGGGAAGGGTGTGTGGAGCAGTTGTCGCCAAAGAGCCTCATGCTGTTGACAGCGCCGCTGGGAGAAAAGTCATTCGACTTTGCGGCCCGAAGATCATGTCGCAGGCTGCAGCAGCAGACACCATTGGCAGGGTCCTCGGGAAGGAGCTCAAAGTCACGCGGCTTGATGAGGAAGAAGGTGTCGAGTTCTTCGTGAAAGCTGCCCATGTGCCGGAGACGGCAGCGCGACAGCTGATTGCGATGCTCAAACAGAGAGTAGAAGCCGGTAATAATGGTGAAGAGTTGTATGAAAGTTACGAGGAGGCAGTTGCCAACATCACCAAGTATGGGGGACGACAGCCGACCAAGTTTGACGAGTGGGTAGAGGAAAACAAGGCCATTTTCGTCGACTGAATACTACTACTAGTAGTGCTGGTAGTGAATATGGAGGACTGAACACTCGACTCTTGGTACAGTACGGGCCGCCTTAGATACTAGCAGAGTATACTACCAGTTTGATACTGATGCAGTATCAAGGTTTTAAGGATGCATCTGATGTACATCCAACGTGCATCATACGCAGCATTAAAACCACATACTTGGCAGTATCAAACGACCAAGGATGGGCAACTTAGTATAGGTACGAAGTCGAATTCGTGAGCACCAGGCGTGTAGCAAAGACTCAGTCGCCTTTACGGGATCTGGACCTGAGATCCCCTCTGGACTTGCTGCAGTGATGATTGCTCGATAGGACTGGTGATACCTGCTCGACCTTTCGTGACACAAATGTGGGTGGGCTTTCTGCACAGGAGACAGACACCTGATTTAGACGGAATCTTCATTATCCAATCTATCAGTCATCTCATGATTGACCATGTGCCAACTCATAACTTCATCAATAAGTACGCTTTTTTCTATATAGACGGTTTAGATTCTACCCAGAATGGTTCCCAAAAGGATACAAAACCGACAAACGCCGTCTCGATCACCGTCTCCCTCTGAAATAGTCGTAATTCGTATTCAACTCTTCCCCAGGTGTCACGTCCCGATAACCATCGATTTCGCTTCCATCTCGACTCGCCACTGGGGTCCGCCACTGGTCAAGAGACATGAACTCGCCGTTCGGTGTTCTGACATCGCCCGCACTCCCTAGCAGGTTTGTCCTGTCATCGTAGGGATCCGCGTGAGGACCTTGATGCGGCCCTAGACTGTTGGCCCCGACAGAAGGAGCCGCAGGACCGTGTCTGAATTGGCTTGGGACATTAGACTGGTCGAATTCCTTGCGGTGGATATGTGTTTGCTGTGGTGCTATCACCTGAGGGGCTGGGCTCACACCGCGGGAACTTGATGGCGAAGACTCCTTCTGACCACCAAATGACGAGACTGGAGTCTGGCTTCGCGGGGAGGAGAGCATATCACCCGCCTCTTGGCGGAAGTCCTCGCGATTTTTATAGAATTTGAAGTCTTGATGAGCCTCCGGGACAAATTCGAAAGGGACGTCCTGAGGTGGCTTGCTCGTCTGAGTCATTGGCTGCATGGCGATATCCGAAATGGGCATAGATTGTCCTCCATCAGACTGTAGTCGGCCACGGTAGATCTCAGCAAGGACGTGCCTGGCCTTAGCATGAACCATTGGCGTCATCAGGGGTTGATATAGAGCCGGGTGCCCGAATTTGAATGAAACTTTCTCAGATTCCCTCGGCTTGGCCTCCACCGCAAGGCGTTCTTGATCGTGCATTCCACCTCGAGAGTAGTACTTCAGGTCCAAGTCGAAAGTCTTCATACAGTACCATTTGAAGGCAAGCATGATGACCAGCAATGGTGCAATCGCGGCAACGAGGGTCCATTCCCCCCTGGCTTTGACGACCACCCCGATAACAACATTGGAAAGCATCGTGGCAAATATCATTCGGTTAAACATCGTCGTCCAGAATTGACCGCCAGACTCGGTTTTGGTGACAAAAACATACATGAGAAGATATTTCTTGAGAAACGCGTCAATCACAAAATACAATGCGGTAACAACAAGCACTATCGGCTGAAGCGTAGAATAGCAAAGTGCCACCGTGGTGTAGAATAAGAAATAGTTGTAGTAACTGGCATAATCAAAGGTTGGAGGCGCAGTCCACTCGATATTCTGTCGAGGAGTCGGAGCCAAAAAGGTTCTTGCAAACCAGGTGTAGGTTAACTGCCACAGTTGAGCCAGATCAGTGGCGGCACCGAGGTTGCGCTGGAGGATCCAAGTGACCCAAAATGGCGAGATCTGACAGAGTGTTGTTGTGATCACAAGGAAGAATTGGCCTTTTCTCAGGGCGTCCCACAGGTCGTTACTCTGTTTGTTGTATTGGATCACAATCGTCACATACTGCCAAACTGCCGAAAAGATGGAGAATACAACCAAGTTGTTCAAAGTGAAAAAGGCGTACAAGTTCCGAAAGACGTGTCGGTCCCGATCAGTTTTGGTCACATCACCGGCCCGGACTTGAAGCCGCCGAAAGATGCTCGGGAGCAAGAGATAAACGAGTGAAGTAAGAGCCGGGGCAGCAATACCCTGGACGATGGACCAGCCCGTATGATGTGCTTCTAGTTGAGTTCTGAAAGCTGGCCAGACGAGACCCAGGTTTGACAGGTTGGAGAGGAAGACTGCAATTCCGGCGTTGATGGGAGTCCAGATGATCGTTAGGACGGCGATCCAGATGCCATTCATTATCCGCTTGCTCCTCCGCGAAGATCGCGACAGTTTGAGATTGTCCCAAATAAGGTCGTTGGGTCTCGGTGCTAGGCGAATCTTGGTGCCATGAGGTCGCTTGTTCCGCGCCTGGAATGCGACTGTGTGCGCCTCGGAAATCTGCTCCCAGCTAGCAAAACCGTACGACATGGCATCGCGATTGTCCACGCGCTCTCGAATATCATTGATTTCCATCTCGAGAGATCGGATACGGTCCGTGAGATACTCAATGGCATCGACTTTGCCATTTGTCGTCTGACCACGGTACTTGCTGGGGGCTTTGATGGTTGGTCGATTCGGTGGCAGCCTGTCCGGGTTCTTCAGATACTTTGCCAGAATCGACTCAAGTTCCCTAACGGCCTTTTCGTGTTCTTCGATCAACTCTGGAAGCACCTTGACGTTGCGTCCA